ATAATATATTTATACTTTTATATTTAAAATATGAAAACATTAATTTCATAATATTATTTCCTGTGTACAGTAAATGCATTTATGTCACCTCCATACAGTGCATAAATGCACTTTTTCATTCTGTATTTGAAACTTCTTCCACCTTTGCTGTGCAAAGGATATTCAAGATATATTCTCTCAATGTAAGTCTTGATATCTTAAGGTAATTTAGATTTTACTGAAACAAAAGCCACAATGTACATATTAGTGATTATGAATCATCAGTGCATGATTTATTATTGTTTGTGTGTGTGTTCAGTCAGGTTACACTCCTCTGCACCTGGCGGCTCAGTCCGGTCATGAGAACATGGTTCGCTTGTTGCTGAATTCTCCTGGTGTTCAGGCCGATGCTGAGACAAACATTCAGGCAAGAGATCAGAAGCACTGCTGCGGTCTGAAGCGTGACGTTTGAGTGCGGTACTGACGGTCAGTCATGTGTTTCAGGGCTCCAGTCCTCTGCACCTGGCGGCTCAGAGCGGACACACGGCTGTGGTCGGGCTGCTGCTCAGCCGCTCTGGATCTCTGCTGCACCTGATCGACAAACGTGGATGTACCTGTCTGCATCTGGCCGCCACACACGGACACGTGGCCATGGTGAGAGTCCTGCTGGGACAGGGAGCGGAGATCAACCACACGGACATGGTGAGAAGAAACCTGCCATGCAAATAAAAATCACACATAAATATCTCAGTTGTTTCTCACAGACAGCAATGAGATTAAATGGTCGAAATGGATGCTTGTGTTGTTCTCATGTTTCTCAGTTGTTTCTTGAGAAAAAGACCCTTGAAATCTCACATGTGTCTCTTCTAGAGTTTCAGATCTTAATAGTGTCTCAAACTGTGCTCAGATTTCCTGAGAGACCAAAGCAGTGCTGTTATTGTTAACGAAACCTAAATGTATTAAAAATGTATTTAAATAAAGCTGAAATAAAATATTAAATGGGAAAAAAACTAATGAAAGAATAAATAAAAAGATAAAAGATAAATAAAATGTTAAAGGGGTCATATGATGCGATTTC